TAATGGATTTCAATACGTAAATTCATAATCTCTCTTTACCAACCTTACAGTGATAAGTATGTTTGTTTTTTATTTATTCATTTTTTTAATCTACTATTTGTAATCAAAATACTATGCTTTGCTGAAAGGTTAACAAAATACAACATAAGTAATGTTCATTCATCCTTGCGACCTTCAGATAAGGTAGTTGTTCTTAACATCTCCCAATAATCAACTGAAACTATTTTCTTAATCGCAACACTTACTTTCATGTTTGTTATTATTAACATATTTAGGTACTATCTACCACATCGGCAACTCCAAAAGCAACAATGACACCAGAAAAAGAGAAACTAGCTTCTGCTTTGTTTAGTGGTGTGGGTGGGAACTAGAGTTTATAACCGGGTTATAGTAAACCGGGTCACCCGTGCAAAACGGTTCAACCGGGTCAAAAATTTACAACTCGGGTCAAAACGGTTGAATATGTAACCTCTAAAATCTGTTACGTACTATTACACAGAAAATTTAACGCATTATTATTGCATTGTGAATAAACACCCTTTTTCTCTTACTAAATATTTAAAAAAAGTTACAAACTTTTGGAGGCTACTATACGGACTATTATTGTTGCGAAAATTTTGTTAAAAATTTTGTTTTCTTTGCTTTGCTAATACGTACAGTCTCGGATATTACCAAATATGGGTTTATTTCTTTTTTTTTCGAATTACGTGAAGCCGAACTTAGAATTTAATGTGTCAGTTCCAATTTTTAAAAATTCTCAATCATATGCAGGTTAGTTGACATTGATGCCAATATATCTCATGTAACACCGAAATGTACACGCAAGTTATGATATAAAAAATCAAATAACTACAGGATAAAAAATTCAAGATGGAGATACACGATTGAAATTTTTTCTTCTTTTCTTACTTGATCTTTTACCTTTGGTGCAGGACTTAGGTCACTTACCTTGCGGGTTCTTGGCGAATTTGGTGGGGTCGTAACCGTTTCTGTAGTTTCATCTGAATCGTCGTCATTAGGCCCTCCAAAATTTATTTCTTGCAAAATTTCATGTATAGTCACACTATTACGGACTATAAAACACAAACCATAAGTATTATTCAGAGATTTCATAAGAAAATGCGTAGTAATTATACCCTGCGATCTTGATATAGTGACCAGGGATAATGTATAATAATGTATCCTAAAAGTGAGTAGTGAGTGAATTAAATTATAAACGTCACCATATGTTGGGAGAGATAAGGGAATTTGTGATTGTTCAAGCAAGTAGTACTTGTAAATTCCCGATTCTTTTCGCATACAATGTAATTCTAACATATTTCCTATAAACGCAGTTAC